GCTGTTGAAGCCTTGACTGATAGTTTTCTTTTGCTATTTTGGTGTCTCAAGGTTAGAAATCTATTACAATTTGAACTTCTGTAGTCTAGCACACTCTGGTCTGGCACCACCCATGACCTAGCATGATTTTAGTTAGTTTTCCACAGTCCCATAAAGTTCATTTACAGCCACCAGTCCTGGTTCTGTGCTGTTATTTCGCTCTAATTTACCCTAAATGTCTTGTAAGAGCTCAGTAAGCAGTGCAAATGTTCTCTGGTTTGGCACTGGTCAAGTGCCGAACTAGAGAGGTTCAACCTGTAAAAGGATTTTTGTTTTATGTATTTGTTAGATGGAAGAAAACAAAGTTACATTGAAGATCAACATAATGCATGGTGATATTAATTCTACATATCAAATATTTTTTTAATATCTGCCCCCTCTGAATATATATTTCCCAATCACACTCGTTCAGGTCATTATTTGAAAGGTCTTCAGTGTGAGCAAGCGAGTGGGTAAAATCAGACTTATCCAAAAAGATATACTGTGTGGCAAATTTGACGAAGTAGCTTTACAATCTGTTTTACAAGATTTCTGTCTAGCTACAGAAAGACAACATACTGATCACCACCAAAAAAGCTATCCTGTTGAACCACTAGGCAGTTCCACTGTCAGTCCCAGGAAATCCTGCTTATCCAGTCAGGATCTCTTTAGTCTTAGAAGGAAGGGGAGAAAAAATAAACTGCCCTGAAAAAAATCAGACCAGGTTTTACACAGAGCTCTAATGCTTCCAGATCAGGGCAAAAATATTGAAAGAACATGCTGGTATTACAGCACTTCCACTTGCAGTCAGAATGATGCTATTCCTAGAATAGGGGAGGAAAAGGAGAGGGAGTAGAGCAGTGATGGGAAACCTAAGCTAGTGAGTAGGTTGCATGAGTGACCCTCCTTCATTTCAGTGGGCTACAAGATTGTCATCACAAAGATGGTTTCCTGGGACAGGGTAGTTTTATTCACTGTATTTGTATACCTAGAATTTGTGGGGTATATGGATTGTGAACCATAGCAATGTTTTTATTAGATTCAGAGGGAGTGCACTGTGCAATCAGCATGCACCTCAGTTGACATACATATCACTTTAGTAATATCAGTAAGAAAAGAAAATGTCTTTCAAGCCACTCATAGAACCCCGATGGGCTGCAGGTTGCCCACCACTGGAGTAAAGAATGATACATTAAAACTCTCACAAGTGACATGGAAAAAGACTAAGAAGGGAAGGACTTCCATACAGATAGGCCCTTTCTCTTCACAAGCAAAAAGGATGAGCTTTTCAAAACAGGTGAACTGAACTGAGTTCCTTTAACTCAGCTGATAAAGACTTGGTAAAATGCAGCATAATGCACTGGAAACTATGTTGTAGTAGAGGCTCCCTCACTTCCAAAAATCTAATAAAATTATATCAGCTGATTTTCCTCTACCCAGAAATTTATTTACTTGTTCAAGAGTTCTAGTAGGTAAGACACGAAATTTCTTTACAAAAACATGTTGGTTGGACTCTTATCACAGTATAATTGTCCAACTGTTTTATTATTGAATATTTAAATAATTTTAATCCATGTATCAAGTACAGATGTAAGACTTACTGGTCAAATTCTTCAGATAACCCTAAAGACATTTTAAATATAGGTATTACTTTTGCAACCTCCCAGTTTTCCAATACAACAGCTATTTTTAACTAAACCCTTTCAGAACTATGGAATTTACAGCTCCTAGCCCAGTTACTAGAAGAAACGATATTTGTAAAATAGTGTATCTCCCTTCTGTCTCTGCAAAGACGATTACCAGAAAAATAGAAGGTCTTTATCTTTCTGCTTGTGACTTTTTTGCCAAAGAGAAGGCAAGTTCAATAGGGTTTAGGGATGTCTTGAGAGGCTATGTGGTTCAGAAGGTAAATTCCCACATATGATCTTGGGCAAATCACTTCATCTTTGTTTTCTTTCAGTTTAAATGATCAACTCTTCTAAGTCAAGAATATCTTTTACTAGATGTTGATACAACATGCAGCACTCTAGCCACTATGTAATGCAAATAATAGGTGAAGATTCAACTTATAATACCTGAAATGACAAAACACCAATTCCTTACTTTAAGGGTCCTTTTAAAAGGAGTGATCTGTTTTTCTGATGTTTACAAACCATAAATATTCCACAAAAAATGTTCGTACCTTAACACAGGAAGCTTAACAGGTTCTTCCAAGTGATTCCAGTATTGATTAGTGACAAGGAGCTTTGATAACACAAGTAACTTTCAATTATGATCTCTAATCTACCACACTTTAGTCTCTTCAACTTAATGAACATGAATGCCCCATAGCTCATGTAAGCAGAAAAGAATTTTTAATTACTACAATGAGCATCTCATGTTAATTATAATCTCCCAGACTAACAGATAGCTCATATATTGTTTTGAGCTCAGTTATAATCCGATATAAAAGAAACACTTCTGAAGAGACAAAGGATTTTATCCCCTGTAGCTATAAAATCAGGCCATGTAAGTAAAACATTATGATGCTCTACTCATGGTTCTAAATGAAAAAACATTCAACGAGCACATTGGGATTTAATATGCATATTCATGAATGATTCACTAATCAGTTATGATAGAGAAAAAACACAAACATGATAGTGATCTATAGCACTATGCTCTCAGAGTAGAGTAAAAAGGAGTCTTAGATTCTTTCATTTAGGTGAAAGCAATGGCTTACTCAGAAACCAAATTAATATACATCATATATTCTATGCCTCATGAAAATATTATATTCATATGGCATACCGGTATGAGATGGAATATGATGTGGGTGAACTAAGTTATCTGACTATAAGAGTTTAGCACTGTCAACGGACTTGGAAAATAACTAACAAGCAATATATATGAAGTTTTGATTTTCTGTGGAAACAAGGAGAAAAGTCAAGTCAGAGTTCAGCCTTGCACCACAGCCTAAGTAAGACTTCTTCATAGTCACTAGAACAAACAGCACTGGAGACAACTGAAGAGGCCAGCCAACAGATCAGCCAAGAAATTAATCTAAGAGTTAGAGTTTAGCCATCTATATTTAGCCTCAATGAAGGCAAACAATCAAGTGGCAGGAACCAGCTAGTCTCTCTCATGTAACACTAAATCTTAGATTGCATTGCTTTTGAGGTAAAGAATCTAGAAAAGCACTGGGACAGAGTATGGCTTATTCACAGTTATACAAGAAGCAAGGTTGGTTTTCACCAAATTGATAGCAAGAACCGAGATGCAAATTAACTTAGAACTCCTCTAGGATTTCTAACAAAAATGAACAAAATCAAAATGATTACAAGTGTGAATATGAATGTGTGTGCTCTACTCACTTACCACTTCCCATTACACAGAACATCACTTGGGTTAGACAAAGTACCACATACAGTAGCCTGCCATGGTAAACAGATTCTAAACTGAAGTGTTTAATTGGAATATGCTGTGTAACAAGTTGTACCAATGACAGCATAATCCAGAATTTTCAGCTTCAGTTTTATCATGCTGTATTCATGAAACTGTAGTTTACTGAAGATCTCAAGGGTCGTAACAAGATGAGGAGGAGACTCCAGTTGAAACCAGGTCTTACGTAAGTCAAGGAAGCTTTAGGCTGAACTACATGTGAATTTTTTGACCCATTATATTAGCATAATCATATCGTTATAGTTAACTAATTATCATTATATTGGTATCAACACTAGGGGACAAGCTCTTTCCAAAGTAAATGTGGCTTTTTTAGTTTAGGTTAAAGCACCTCCAAGAAATGACAGCATTAACTGGGAAAAGTCCCTTTCATAGCAAACTACAAATGCACACATGTAAGTTATACGTGTGAATTTACAGCAGTTGAAATTCACAACTTATATTATACCAGTGTAAGTTTCCCACACAAGCAAGCTGCAGGGGTTGCCAGAAAGATCTGCTCACTTTTCCCCAGGCTCATAATCTACCACCAATCTATAAGCCTACCTTAGTGGTTCACACCAATGATCCACCTAACAGTATTCTTTTACCAACATTAGCTAGTGGCATATGTATCCAAAAAAGTTACAGAAGTGCAGCAGGCATATCCTTGCCCCAAAACTGTTTAAATTATAATTCTGGATATTTCTGTTACTTATACAAATACCTAATCCCCTTTCAAATCCTATTTTTTCCTCAATGACATGCTGTGAAAATGAATTCCACAGGCTGTGCATGGAAAAGAATTTCAATTTTTCAGTCTATTTTCCACCTTTTCATTTCAGCAACTGCTTCCATGTTTTTACTATGTAAAAGAATCAGTGGAAGTAACTCATCTATTTGCACAATGACAGTCTCAGAAAAAAAGCACTCAGTTTAACATTTTTAGCTGTAGTCCTGCCTTTTTCACACACACCCCTTTTTTGGGGGTCAGGGGAATAAATTATCCCCTGTGGAGTTATTTCCAAGACACAACTTGCAGTCATATGCATATAAATAGGAATCAGCAATATACCTAAAATCATAGATAATGATTGGCTACATTTGTTTTACTTACAGGCAGTAGTATATAGTTTCAACACATCTTTTCTGAATTAGTGTAACAAAAATATACAAACAACTACAGCTATAAGATAATTAACTGTAAGGATTACTCTTTCAACTAAACAGCAGTAGCAATAAGAAAAACAGGTATTTCCAAACATCTTCCAACCAGTATATAAGTCCCGGTTTACGATTTTATCAGTGCTATTAGCTATACAGGAATTGTAAATCAATTTGACAACTATTTCTGGCCAAATACTGTAATTATCAATATTCAAATACTAATATTAAATCTGTAGTCTGGTAATGCCCAACATGTGCTATCCATAGATACAGAAAGATCTCTCAGGGTCCACAAGAAACATACTACTCAGGCAAAAATCCATGCACAAATTTTCCATTCACATTTTTAAAACAATCTATCATGAATTTGTTCATGTGTCAGCTTTGTTTCTCACCTGTCTGTTCCGTTCATCCATTATTCTTGTGATTTGTATTTTCTTCCTCCCCATTTTCACTCTCTCCTTGCCTTTCCCTGTTTGCTATCCAAAAACACACTAATCCAAGAATTCTCACACTTCAATATCCTAACACATGGTATAGTTCTTTTCCACTGTTTCGTCTTCCACTCGACAAAAAGGTTGCTGTTTCTTGTTACAAAAACCTAAAAAAAAAAAAAAGAAATGCTGAAATAATTTTGTGCCAATATTTTCAAAGTTACAATTTCACATCCAAATTTATGTTTGCACTTTGAAGTGATTCTTGTAAAAATGAACAAACTCATCTCTCTCTAAACAAACTCCTGTCCATTATTATCATACCAAGCAAAATCAAGCAATGACTAAATTAAGCAATTGAGCTATTATCCAGAACCTATGGCCAAGAATCAAAAGTGATCAGTGATTTTGGGTGCTCCATTTAAACATCTTTTTAAAAGGCCTAATTTTCAAAAGATTCGCTGTCCTCGGCGCAGTGGAAAGTGGGAGAAATCAGTCTTTCGAGAAGTCTACTGTTGAGCACTCAAAAATTGGGCCATCCAAAAAATTCACTGGTCACTTCTGAGAATGATCATCTAGAATTTTGATAAGTGTAACCTATTTTTTAAAAGAATTTTTTCAAATATTTTGCTATAGACGTGACAACTCTTTAAGGTTGTTTGGCATTGTTTCATTTTCTGTCCAAGCCATCAATCTGAAAAATACATTTCCCATTATTATTCAAGCTCTGCTTGTTGTGAACAAAAATTCAAGTTACTTGTTTAGCTTCAGTTCATTTCAAAATTACAGGCATGCCTCTTGCAACCTTGTTGTTTAGAGTTCTTCAGCATACATAGAACACAAAGACCTTGTGCCTCAAAAAGTTTATAGTTGAACCTAAATTAATATAATCAATAGAATCAAAATACATAGGAATGAAACTACATCCAACTTGCCAGGAAAGTTGTCAGCCACACAAGGATTAAGAATAGACACTCTACTGTGGAAGTCATTTTATAACAATGTGTTAATAATTATAGGAAAAATTAAAACACTGTAAGAACTGGAGCAATGTATTAAAAATACTCAGATACTACAGGGATGAGGATCCCTAGAGAAAACAATAAAAAAATACAGTAATAAACCCACAAAATGACAAAAAAGTTTTAAAACAAAAATTGAAATAATAAGACTAATTTTATATTAAACTAGTAAGGACAAAGGCAAATATCAAAAAGCAATGTAAGAAAAAATGAGCGGGGGGAGAATGCAAATCCCTGTAATGCAACCTTCTGGCAACTTGTATTTATTTTTATTTAGATTGAAAATTTTCTGCACAGGGACTACTGTATGCCTTTGAAACTCTATCACGCTTTTGAGTACCATATAAAAATAAATCATGTTTTCAGTATCTTCACCCACCACTACAATTTCTTTTCCTCCAAAGGATTATTTCACAAGTATGGAGTTGCTGATGAATAGGTGAGAAAATCTCAAGGTTATGTTCACTACAGTAACTTGCAAATTTTCACACATCTACTAACAAGCCAAATACCAACAACAAATCCTCATATTTAGAAAGACTTGCAGAAGATGTGCACTAACTGAAAGGGCAACAAAGTCAGACACAAATATTGTACTATTATTTTTAAGGGCCAAAATATGACTACTAAAAATTACCTCAGCCTTGGAAAACTATGCATTATTATTGTACATTTTGGAAGATGCTTCTCTCTCAACTCTACTGTTATTAACTGAACTGTAGGATACTACTGTATAAGTAATAGGAGGGCAGTAGAAATACACTGAAAGTCTCGGATATTAACTGTATATTATAATGTATTACCCAACTTCTTGTTTGCAGTCTTTTTGCATCTGTGTTGGCCCCAAGATATCAGAGATATAGTCCGATACAAAAAAATTACCTCAGCCACTAACTGCTCTTGGTGAAAGGAACAAGCTGGTCCAATTAAACAGTACCTCACCTACCTTGTCTCCAATACCCAATTGGTGTAATTAAAAAAAAATGTACAGACACTACTCATATTTTGAAGACATATTAGTCGATATGCATGACAAAGAAACGGGTCAAAATAATCACTGTATTGTATTTGTAACCTTCTCAAAACTTTTCAATCCAAAACATCTTTTGACTATGACTCCCGCATATTTTAAGATGACTATCATGAATCTTTTTAGCCATGTGTAGAAAATGGTGCAACCATGTCACAAACCATCTCTCAGTTAATAAGTAGAGACAGAAAGAGGCGATTAGTCAGAGACTGCACTTCACAATGTATTCACCCTATACTGAGTGTAGAGCCATGACACTCTCATGCTGATGCTGCTTAAAAAGGAAATGGGGAAATATCACAAGAGCAGGAGATGTCATTTTATATTCATCTGACATCAACCAAATCTCTCCTGTTAGACTATCACTGAATACCCAAGAGATATAGAAAGCAATTTATAATTAACACAAAAAGGCACAAAGACTGTTAGGCCCACTGTTTGAGAGGATTAAATAGAATGAAAATTATCAGTCAGTGTAAGCACAGAAGAACTGCAGTATTTTCTGCTTCAACCAGAGAATACTACATCTGCAAATGGTGTCTGCTATGAGTTAATTTTATTTCAAAACAAGCTGAGGAATACAGCCGATCCCTGAGTTACGAACGGTCAAGTTACGACCGCTCACATTTATGACCAAAGCTCCCATGGAGCGGTCGTAAAGGTGGTCCCTGAATTACAAACACAACCCGCGCTTACGAACAGTGCGGTCACTATGTAACTCAATGGGGTCCGAGTTACGAACAAATCGAGTGACGGCCAAGTGTTTGGTCCGTAACTCAGGGAGAGGCTGTATATATAAATTGACATAACTGTCACGTATTCTATGCTACTCTTTATAGACACTGCACTTTAAGAAAAACAACATTCTCTTCCAAAGAACTGCTGCTAAACACAACTCCCGATGTTTCGTGACCATTACATCACTTTGGGGCTCTTCCTCCCATATCATGAAGAAAAAATTTGGGCCAAATAATAACCCTGAAGTTAGCAAACATATCAATGATCAGAGCACACCTCATATTTCAATGAGTAAAAAATGAAATTAAAGACCCACAAATTTCAAAGTTGCATTTCTTCAAGTCATGGAATACACTCTAGCAACCACTATTATCCCATCTCTGTAGAAAGGCAACAGAAATGAAAGCTCACACTGACACAAGCATCAAACATTCAATGAAATAAAATTATCAGTCAGTGTAAGCACAGAAGAACTGTGGTATTTTCTGCTTCAACCAGAGAATACGACATCTGCAACTCCAAAGAAGCAAAGTTAAAACTGGAATAGTTTTGAGTATTATCTCATATGAAACTGAACCTTAAATTTTAAGTCTCCCGGTTTTCTACTTTTGTTTTAATTTAACACTTTAAAACAATGTATACTAAAAACGCTGATAACCAACACAATCACTGGCTAAGCAATCTCAAAATACAGCATGTCACAGACAAAAAAAAAAAATCTATCAGTCACATGTTCTCATTAACTGTGATTCATATAAGCCACTAAATTTGCAATTGTTTTCTAAATGTTGGAGGGATGTAACACTAAAACTAACTAATGAAATCTGCACTAGTTAGAAAGATGATTTTAAGGATTCAGCAAAAAACAAACTACACTGGTGCCCATATTGCTGCCTGTTTAAACAAAGCTATAAAGACCGAGGTCAAAACTAGATAAGTTTAACACAACTTATTTCATAATTGTCCTTAGTTTCCTTTTATATATTCCTTTCTGTTTTCTCTGAACCTGTACTTTACCATTATGATTCCAGATAAGACTGTTACCTTTTGTTCCTGTAGTTCTTTGAGATGTGTTGCTCATGTCCACTCTATTGTAGGTGTATGTGCTTGCCCCGTACCCTGATACCAGAAGTTTTTCCTTCAGTGATATCAATAGAGGATCAGCTCTGAGGCCCTCTGGAGTGATGCAGGTATGTGCTGGTATGAGAGGAACAGCCAGCTGCCCCTCCCTCAGTTGTTTATTGCCAGGACTCTGAGAGGGGAAGGAGGGTAGATCATGAAATGTATATGAGCAACACAACTTAAAGAACAAGAGTTACATAGGTAACCATCTTGTCTTCAAATACTTTCTCATGTTCACTCCATTGTAGAGGACTCCCAACAAGTACCATCAGAGGCAGGTAGGAGTTCATGGAATGTGTTGACTGCAGCACAGTTCTGCCAGATCAAGTGTCACCTCTGGCTTGCTGGATGACAGCATAATGCATCGTGAACATGTGTACCAAAGACCACACTGCAGCCCTGCAGATGTCCTGGATAGGGATACGCTGCAGGAAGGCACCCAAAGACACTTGAGCCTCTGCAGGAGGACACTTCACAAATCAGTGCAAAGCCCGCACCAACTTCTAATAAATAAGGATGCAGGTGGTGATCCAATCTGTAATCCTCTGACAGGCCCAGCAAGCTCTTCATCCTGTCAGCTGTCATGATAAAGAGCTATGTGTAAGTGCAGATGGAGTTGGTGCTTTCCAGGCAGAACACCAGAGCATGCCGGAGATCTAGTATGCCCAATCTCTTCTACCCATTAGCGCTGAGAGGCTTTGGACAGAACACCAGAGAAAGATATTATGGTTGACATGGAAATGCAATATCACCTTTGCAGAAAGGTTGGAAGGGGCCGCAGTCAAACTTTGTCCTTGTAGAATATTGTGTATGAGGGCTACCCAATGAAGTCTTTAATTTCAGAGACATCTCGACAAGTTAATCACTACAAATAATTCTACCTTCTACAAGTGAGAAAGACAACGAAGAAGCCATAGGCTCAAAAAGTGGGCCCTTTGGAGTGGACAAGATTGAGGTCTCAGTGGGGAACTGGGTCCTGGACTGGTAGAAAGAGTCTTTAAAGGCTTTTCAGGAACTTAATAGTCATGGATGCAAGAAAGGGAGAGGTGTGGGAGACCATGAATGGGAACATGCTATCCAGTGCTGTGGGCAGGAGTGACAAGAGGCCCAAAGCCTCTGGATGTCCCTGGGGACTACCAGAGGACCTGGCACTAGCAACAGGGGTTCCAGGCCTGTGTTCACCAACTGGCAGTGTTCTTATGAGAAACTAACTTACTTTTTTACCTGTACTATGTTTTTTTGGATCATAAATGTT